TTATGAGAGAACAGAAAAACATACTACTTAATGCATAGCTTTATTCTTTCTACATGATGCCTAATTGTATAATGTATTAGAGTCATAAAATAACATTGTATTCTGATTATTGGGGAATACTGTGTTAAAAGGAAAAGTTATCCTTCTCTATTGGATGCAAAATTTCTCCTGCCCAATTTGTTAGCTTTCATTTTGCTTTTATCATAAAATAATGAGGGAATCCAAGGAAAAAGAACTTAATGTAAAACGGGCGCATTTTTTTAACATTGTTAACACAAACAGTAGCTACATTCTACAGCTGTATCAAGGAACTAGAGCTACATGAAGGATCTGCAGCAAATGAAAGATATAAGGAAATGATTCAGAGCCTAAATGATGCTGAAAGACTTGTTTTATTTGGATTACTGTCTGAAAAATGTGAGGCAGTTTACTCTTACCACAAACTAATTCAGGACATAAAAGGCACTAATCACACATGATTTCATTAATAATACACTGAATATACTGAAAAGTGATATAAATCTTTAAACTATAGTCCCAGCACTTAATTATTCCTATTTTCTTATAAATATTATGCCATTGTTTTGAAATAATGCGTAAATATTTGGAAAAAAAACACAGCCAAATATTTGTTTTGCAAATAACATATTTCACATCCATCTATTTTTTTAACCTCTTTAGCCATCACAAGGTTCCAGAGGAGCTGGCCAGGAAAAGGCACATACACAGGATGCCAGTCCATCACAGGGCACACAGAGAGACACACACTCTCGCACCAGTGCCAATTTTCCCAGAAGCCAATCAACCTACCAATATGTCTTTGGACTACGGGAGGAAACCGGAGCTCGCAAAGGAAACCCAGGCAAGCACAAAGAACATGAAAACAACATAGAAACATGAACATAAACATTAAAAACAAACACTGTGCAGAGTTTTCTAAAAAGGGCAGATAGCACCCCAGGGCCAGAATTGAACACAAAGTAGCAATACTAACCACTGCCCCACCATGTCACCCACCACTCACTACCTTTTAAAACATGACATGAACATGAATGAACAAAAACAGTCCTCCCAGAGATTTTTTTTATGTGAAGAACAGAAAATTGTAAATCAGTTAAACCACCATCTCAAAAGACCTCTGTGAGTATACTGTACTGTTGAAAGTAGACATTGACTGCATTACTTAATCTACCACAGAGTGGTTAGGTGATGAATGTTAAAAAAATACATATGAAGCACCTACTGTACATGTCATTGCAAAGAATATTTGTATTGATTTAAAAGGTGACAAAGTTCATAACAATGGGAACTCTACACATCTTGTGCTAAATGTGCATATAAAATGTCACTAAAGTGGTTATCATTATTTTGTTCCGAATGCCAAAAAGTTCATCATAAGTATTCAATGTTGTAGTATTAAATCTGTGTTCATTTAAGCCTGTGAAAATAGAGAATGTTTTACTTGTTATGTTTAGACAATAGATGTTTAGCTGTGTGAATATTATTTTTCATTTCCTATGAGAATTGCTGATTGTGGTCTGGGGCACTCAGAGCAAACATTCAGGGATCTATTAAAAGGCGACAGGACTGAGTACATAACCCAGTCAGATGTGGGGATTGAAATGGCTCAGAGCATAAAAGCTTTACAAACATTGCTTGAATGCACCTGAGCTGAACTGTGACAAAGCACAGCAGCAAACTGAATTGAGAGAATAATATTGATCTGTGTAGCCAATAGCCAGTTTGTTTGTACTTTGTTCTCTGCTAGTTTTAAACAGCCTAACTCTGGCTTTCTATAGGTGTGCCTTTCAGAAGTCATCTTTTGCTTAAGGGATTCCTGTAGTTTTGGGGAATCTTTGTTTGTCCTGGCCACATGATAAATCTACATAATGGCTGGGCTATATAACTAATCTGCTATGCTTAATCTCCCTTCACTGAGACTCCTTTCACTGCAGAATTACAACATGACTTCCGTGCCACAATAAATCTATATTCCTCCATTGTATTTGATAATTTCATAGGATGTACAACATCATTACAGTCTTCAAATTAAACCCTGAAATTTAGTGTCTTTAGGTAAAAAAGTAAAAAAAGTACACTGCAAAAAAAACCCACAGATATAAACCTGTAGAATTCAGATACAGTATCTTCCATTAATTTGTACTCAATTATCCTGTGAAGCATTTTTAGCCATCAGTAGGTGGACAGAAAATATAAAACCCACTTATTGCAAAAAATACTTTAATTCAGTGTGTTATTTAAGTTTGTCAGCACAGACCTTTAAACAAAATAAGATATCACATGAATGAGTAAAACTGCAAGTTAAAAAAAATATATTACCTTTCTACTAAGTTTCTCTTTAAGGCATGCATACTATAATATTATATTAGAATTGCACATTTCTTGTAATTGTATATGAAGAGTTAGGTATTTCTAGAACTTCATAAATGCACATAAACAGATATGTACAAAAACACCAAAATAATGAGCTACTAAATAGAATTTTTATAGAGAGATTAACTTATGTTAACTGGTACAGAGGATGGAAAACCTAAAATTTGTTTTTGAACATCTTTTCTCATAACAATTAAAATGGACTATCCCTCCCAGTGACAACCAACAAAAAACATTCCTGTTTCTTTGCACATTATCAAAAACGTTTTTATCTATGTGAAACAAGCCTTTGTAATAGGTTTATTCCATGAGGAAAGGAAAGAAAACACAATGTTATGGCTGTGGAGCTATGTTGTTTTCCTGTCAAATAATTAAAGCCTTTCCAATGTCAATAAAAAAACTGAACTCATATATTGAATGAGCTGCTTTTGAACAAAAACAAAATACAAATCACAGTCTGACTTCAAAAATATAATCATATTCCTAATACTAGGACACATTTCCTTGTGTTTTTATGACAAATCCAGAGTTGACAACAGATAACTCATAGCCTTCTGCGTCCATCTGTTGACATGTATGCAGACACATGTATACAGACACATACATGCAGGGTGTCTAAACATTACTGTGAGCATGCAAGCATCCATAATTCAAGCAAAGGTTATAACACGCAGAGCCCGTTATACACAGGACTATCGTAAACAGAAATAAGAACATGGATTACTGCACTGAGAGGTTACCTCTGAGAAGTAACAATCAAAAAGAGCTTTAACACCCTCCTGCGTTACATCGATAATTCTCTCTCTTGAGTCCTGCAGTCTCTCGCACATATTTTCATCATGCGACCTGTTTTCTTTGGAGGATTTGTTACAATGCATTTAAATATGTACATTTCTTTAAAACATCTATGAGTCCTTTAGAATGCAAGTTAAAACGGAAGGAGTCGATAAACCTTACACAAAGGAATTTTCCAGTGACTGCTGAACAACAATTTAACCACTTTACAAATCTTTTAAAGCTCTTGAAGCCAATAGTTGTTCATACTACCACCTTGTGGTTCTTCGTTGAATTAGCTAGTGTTGAATAATCGCATGTCATATTAGGTTTTGTTACACTGGTAACATAACCTTATACGTGGGGTAACACAGTGAATAAAATTTTAAGGCATTATATTTCTGAGCGACGGAATTTCGTTTATTAAACAGCAGGTTTACCGAAAACAGTAAATATTTACAGTCGTTCTTACAGAGATTTCAAACTCACGTCAAAACCAGTAGCCACCAAACAACATTCGGCTTTACAGGTGTATTTTAAGCTATCAGTAAATATCAAGTTTACTTTTAGGGAGATATTTTTGCCCCAAAAGGATGTGCTGATCCGGATATTTTGAGCTGTAGGCACAATAACGTCCTGAAATCAAATAATGGTAATATTAATGTATTAAACTGACCTAAAAAAGACTGAAACAACGTTATATTTTAATACGTGGTTTAGCACTCCAGGTTTGAAGGCTGAAGCCCTCCCCTTTACATGTTTGATGGGGGGAGGGGACAGAGTTATGACCTTGTCTGAGGTGTGAGTTTTGACGTAAAAATGCGTAGCTGTGTATTACAATGGTCCAAGTGCCCTTTCGCTAAACGTTTTTTTTTTGCTTAAAGTAATCACCAACAATCTGAAAATAATTAATCCTGTTAATAATAATAATCTCATTGCTACTTGCTGTTAGGAATAATACTCTGATCCCTTTGCTACTAATAATAATGGGTTGCGGAATATCCAAATAGAACTGAGGTATTTGCAGTGCTCTGTAGTGTACAGTCATTACTTCAAATTGAACCTGTTAACTAATTTGTTATCATATGTAATTTATTCTTTAAATAAACTCAGAAGTAACCAATCAAGTTGTGTTTCCATGCACGCTCATAACACTTCGACTGAATACGAGTAAAATAATCTGATTATACGAATTAAATGATCTGCATATACAGTACAGTAGCGGTACATTGTAACGCACAGCTTTGAGCTAGAAGGTTCACTCATCAGCCCACGTACCAAGAATCCGAGTTGAGAATCTTCATCGTCTTTTCCCCAAACCGATATCATCTTTTCAAAATATACAGTATACAGTATAGGGTTTATGTCTCTTTTAATTATTTCAGGAGTCTATAAAATGTGTCAACTTAATGATAATAAAACTAGGTAATCGGGTATTACGCAAGACCGAATTTAAAGATTTTTTTTCTAATTTTCATTTTGTAGAACAGAACGTAGAACGCAGTCATTTAACAAGTGCTGAAACCTAACAACTATAATCTCAGAATTTTAGGTAATCTAATTCGGCATTTTTCATTCATTATGCATACTTATTATTTTACATGTCAGTTTTAGACAGGTTGCATTGATACTTTATTAAAAATAACGAACAGACCCTCCTCTGAGAACAGATGTTCACAGCAAAATGTCTGCAGTAGAAGCACGTATGATCAAAGCGACAATTAAATAAAAGATCCTTAAAACATAAGCAAGTAGAAATATATTGTGGCCATGCCAAAGGCAGATTCAGTGAAATCGTTGAAAGCAAGCCAAAATCAGATCTCGCTACTTACCCCTTCGCTATATCTGCAACATCTAAAGTCGTTTTCCTTAGCCCGGGACTTCAAGGAATTGAAAAAAAAGGGATATCACACGGAAAATCTAAAAGTCCGTCTCCTGTCCTCTAAAATCCAATACAGTCCATGTGAATGCGATTATACCCAAGATCTTCTTCTAAGAAGAATAGCTGCTTTTCGGTTGTAAATGACCTACATTCATGAAGAAAATTCATTAGATTGCAGAGGAATTGCAAGTAGTAGAGACTTCATAGAGAGAAACAGAGAGACTGGTCTGCAAAGACAGATTAAGGAGGCAGCGACCAAGGCTGTACCAGTCGCTCTCTCTCTCCAGTTGCTATTGGACTACACTGAATGAAATTTACAAAGCCTACAGCCAATAGATTGCTGCATTCTCTCCATCACTATTAACCAGAAGCATATACAGCACTCGGTATATGGTTTTGAAAAGCACCTTCCCTTAGGTACTTATAGAGCTCAGATGTTTATTGACCCTGTTCGCATTTTCAGCTTCGGAAAATTCGCCTTGTGCTTAATGATGATTTGTTTGCGGATTTCATGCTACCTAATTGTCAGCGGTCGGTTTGCGGAGCAAAAGCTTGATAAAACGAACGCACATAGTTTCACTTCACTTACTCATTAAATTAGACAAACGCGGAATTTGTCGCGGAGAATCTGTTATATGTGTTAGTTTTTGACACACATTCAGATTAAATATTTCTTATCTACACTTTCAGACTTGTAAAATATAAAGTTTTAGTTTTCACCAAATTCCCCAGGGGATGTATCAGTTTAATTTTATTTTAATGACATCAACACAAAACTACTATAACAGTTAAGTGAGATATAATTATCATGCATGGTGTAAAAGCTGAACAAAACACTGTCATGTTTCTATGGTCTCTAAATATGGAAGCATCGGTACATTAGTGAAAACTGGGTAGATTATCTAGCCATTTTTCTGATCCAAAAGCAAACTTTTTGTCCTTTGTCTTTTACTCAATAAAAGTATTGTCTACTCAAACAGAAAATTGAACTGAACCATTCTCAATATTTAATTCTTTAAAATAAAATAATAAGTTTTCCAATGAAAGCCAATGTATCCTGTCGTGTTATTTTGTTTATAGTTGCATATGTATTTTCATTAAAGAAGAGTTGGCATTTGGCACTTGGCATTTGTCAGAACCACAAAGTATGTATTGCAGGATTTGCAGTGAAATATTGAGATTCATTGAGATAAGAGACACATTTCTGAGCATCTGATCAAACAGGTTTTGCCCCAGGGATGATCATTCACGATCCCAGAGAGAACCACAGTCTAGATCAACCGTCCAGTTATCAATGATGAAATACAAGGAATAACTGCTCACTTAGGTAGGTGATGTTTTTATTGACTGAGGTAGTTTTGTGACCAGCCTTCTAGGACAAGAGCTTTCCATCCTTGATATATGTGATCAATTTAATTCTTAAATTGATCTCACTCTTAAAGTTTTTTGACACGTCTTTATAATTTGGTATATACTGGAGACCTGCAAAGCTTGATGGGTTATAGCTATCTGGGATTAGAAATGGCCCCCCTACACTATACTCTATGACTACGCTGAGGTCACAGGAGGTTGGAATACATTCCATGTACTGTACTTATCATACACTGTGAGTCCTGTGGGACAAGACCAGGTACAGACCAGTGTCAGCAACTGTTCTGTACTTTGATGTGGGCATTTCATCGAAAGGATATGTTTTCATTTCATTGCTGACTAGATAGTTATGTTAAATGAAGAGGCATATCTGCATTGAGCAATTTCAGAACAACACCTGAAATGACTTATTGCAGCCATCTTAATGCACATGGACCCTTTGGATATTTGTTTTAAAAGAGTGCTCTAAGCATTTGCAAGCCTAAAGAATAACTAAAGCCTAATTGTCCTATAGCCCAGTCAAAGTGTAGAGTGAATCAACACAAAGTTATTGTTAAAAATGTCAGTTATGGAAAGTGCTCAAAATGAATCACAAAGAATGAACATTGAGCTAAAACAGATCATAGACATAAAGAAACCACATTCATACATATATTTTCATTTACTACAAATTATTTGAAAGAAATAAAAACATATTTTTGCCAGTTGTTACTTATTTACGTGAGGTGAGCTGTGAATGGTTTTCATACTGTTACCTCAGAAATACCTGGATCTGAAGATATACTAAATGCAGACACATTAGAAAATGATTAGTTACTATATGCGTATGACCTGTGGCAATCAGTAAGAAATAACTGCACCAGTACACACAAGGTTCACATTAAGACGTAGAAACTGAAAGGCAATGTAAGCAAAGGCTATTAAGCAAATGAGCTCCAGACATACAGTAACAAATGTTGATATCAAAAACTTTAAATGCAATAATATTTAGTAAATCCTAAAAGAATACTACAGTTGTCTGCTGCATGCTGGTTTCTTATAATTTAAAATCTGAGACAGCTATTATTTAGATCTATCATATCTTCAAAGACTACAAAGACCACAAAGACTTAAGATGTGTAACAGTTCTAAAATCTACGTGCTGTTCTTCATTATTATTTAGCCCATCATTTGATTCTGACTAGCAGCACAATTTACTCATAACAGTTATAGTATTAATTTTCTGTGTCCCAAAAAGAAAATAATTGAAGGAGACTATTCAACTCAGAACAAGTTCAGGTGATAATTCTGAACTTTGAGGTTGAATTTGTTATTATATAATTAAAAAAAATGATTCTAAAGGTCACGTTTCTTGGAAGGTTTCCTGTGACATATAGGGTATCTCCGACATGGAGATTCTGTTGGTTATGGTGTTTTAGGAACAGCTGGATATGAGTCAGCCACTGGAGGTTGAGCAAGAGGGTCCTGCAAAAAAAAATGGTGGAGCAAAGTCATTGAGGGCACTGTCCAGCTAGTTCAAATCAGTTGACCCTTGAGAACCTTGTGAAGTTTACAAATGATTGTCAGAAAATTCAGAGTTTAGCATTTCCTCAGTCCTTTTTGAGTGAACAACTTGGAACCACCTTGGAAAACCCCTTTCACCACATAGAAAGTGTTTAATTTCCATTTCAGCATAATCCACATGGATTCGTTTCCAGGGATTTGCTGCCAAGACCATGGATCTAAGAGTGCTAGAGTAAGTTGATCTTGAACAGCTTCACACGGTCCACATGATCAACAGTGTCATAAGAGTTTCTGAATATCCTGATGGATGGCTTTTGAGTGGATAGCTGATCCTTCTTGTCCATAAAATGTTTAAGTTTTTCATTAGGTAAGTAGGCCACCGTTTCTTTTTTTAAAAAAGAACAGGATCCTGTCTGGATTCTTCAGAAATATCTTTAGAAAAAATAGGAAGTTGATCCATGTGTGAAAGCTGGAAGACCACTCCCTCACCCTTAGCTTCAGCATCATTTTTGCAGAGCAGTCAAGACAGCACATCAGTGCTCCCATGAGCCATAGAATGTACACAAATACGATCGTATGCCAACAAAATTAAAACCCAACACTGCATTCTTGGGTACTCAAAAGAGACTTGTGGTCAGTCAACAAACTAAATTTCTGTCCATACTGTATAAGGACTTGTGAAGTTTCTTAACTCCATTGATGATCATCAAGGGTTCCTTCTCAATTTGAGCATAATTCCTTTCACTGGGTGTCACAGTTCTGGATGCAAAAGCAAGGTGTTGCTACTCACCTGATGGTAAAGAACATTTTATGACTGCACCCACTCCACAGGGTGATGCAAGTTCCAAAGCCTTGTCTGTCTCATAATATGCTAGCCACTTTCTATTTAGGAGTCATTGCATGCATTGCTTTAATGCTTCTTCACATGGTTTAGACCAATACCACTTCTTGTCTGCTCATAGTAGCTCATGCAGTGCTGGTACTGCTGTAGATTGTGAGGAACTGATCATAATAATTTAGCAATCCCAGAAATTACCACAGTTCTGTCATTTGAATTTTAACCCTCCTAAACTTCTTTGCATTAAGTTAAGTAGGCACCTGATTTTGACAACATTTATATTGCTGTGTTATATTTTAGTGTTTTAAAAAATGATATACAGTAGAATGCTGTCTGTATCTTGTTGCTTTTGCAATAAACAACAATAGGCAGTTAAATTCCATGTATCAATTTGATTGTACTTCCTGTATATTTTCCAAGCTGTTGTAGAGTAATTTTAAATTTCATTTCAAAATATTAAAAAAGTAACTTTTGCTTAAGCTGTTAAAGTTTACCATTGGGATATTTCCAATTGGACTTGTTATTGTTTTTAAGGATGGAGTTCAGGTATTATGTACCAACATATGTTTTTTTTTAAAGAATTATTGTGTTTACACTATATGTCATATTTGTTTGTTGGTCTTTTAGTTTCTAATCATTTTATTGGAGAACAAAAAAGATGTTTGGTTTGCAGTGTTCATAGAATATTGCACCTGTTTCACAAAAATGCTTGCAACAATATTTTTCTATTAATCCAAATTATACTGATTAATATGAATATGACAGAATAATTTGTGTACTCTCACTCAGCCGATTATGTGTTGACATTTACACAAAAAAGGTTTTAGTATTCTTCTCAACACTCTGCTGTGTTATAATAAGTGATTATGTATGCTCTTAATTGTTATGTTGATAAACCCTGAACAATTCTAAAGCTATTTCCATATCTTTACAATGATGAAAAAGTCCTTTAAAAATAAAATTAACTTAACATATTTAAGTAAATCTACTTTACTTAATATGTATGAATATGTAATCTCACTAAACATTTATACAGTAGTTACATATTTATTTATGAATAAATCATCTTTTATTATCTTGGACAAAGTTAATACTGTTGAATTTAAATTTAATTTTCTTGTTCACAATGAACGTAGAAATGTGGATGTTCTCCATTTTCTTTAGAATATTCATTACACTTATGTAACAGATGTGAGATTCATAAGGATTCACAAGGGTTGTGAAAATCGTTGATACTTTATCTGTGAAATATATAATGGTGGACAAAAAGAAGGTAAATAATCAGAAATATTGGTTAACTATTCTGGGAAAATTGTGGTCTCACAGTGTTAGCCGAAAAAGGTTATAATCCTGAACAGAGGTTTACAACTCAGTCAAGATTAAGCAAGGTTTGCCTGAAAGTCTTTTGAAACAGAAACAATTGTTCAATTAATATGCAAATCCAACTGTGCTTTGTGTTAGATTTGTACGAATAGCTACTTTGGATTGTTTTGCTTTAAACTCAATTGTGCCCAACTTAAAGTGTAGTTTAAATGTTATTTTGTGTAGTTTAATTTATAGTTTCAATATTTAAAGGT